TTTCTGGAAAAATTGAAGTTTTTACTATTTATAACATTTTTGTTATATTCACAAAATACGTAGGTGTTGTTGGCTAGGTTTTTCACCAAACTGATGTCTGGGCGTCATATGGATGGATCCAAATGGTACTCAGAATCCACACATCATACACAGATGCTGAAATGTTATGATGCATACAGTAAATCAGTTTAGCTGTTGTTTACAAATTGTAAAGATACCTATACTTCAGCCACCCAGCAAAGCTTAAATATTTTTCCTATTGATTCATTGCACCAAATGTGGACCAAGGAGACTGCCATATTGTCACCCAATATGTTTTAATGACAATAACCAATAAAAGATGTATCTGCATTATTCCTAAAATATATGCCGGTGATAAAGAGTGGGTAAGAGAGTTTGTAAACACACCAGCAGTGATCCAGCTTCTAACAGATGGTGAATACCAGGCTGTGCTTAGCTCAATTTTAATAATAAGCTCTTTGAGAAGAGTAAGGCTGGGCTTCATAAAAGAGCAGTTGGCAGTTGGCAAAGATTAAAGGACTAAGTATGTATTGAAGGTTGGTCTAAATGGGTCTTCCAGAGAAATTCTGCTTAAATGGTTTTGTGGATTCCCACTGGACCTTATCCCACAAGCTAAGATTTCACACAGTCCCTCACATTCCTAAAGTGAATGCACACAAAGCCCTGGGAATAAAATTCCTCCTGTGACAAATACCCTTTTCAACTAGTGTTTCAAACAGCAAGGGAAAAAAAAAATGAAACACATTCCACTGAATATTGTATTCATTCCTACGTTAACACATATATGTTCAGAAAATAAAGGCATCTTTATTCAGGAAGAGTTCCTTCAAAAGATGGAATGGGGTTCAGGTGTATAATGTTTGTTTTTAACTAAATTAGTCAGATGCAAGTTATTGTGTTGATTCCATGTTTAGTTTTGATGAACAGTCTAAATATGAACTCGAGCCGATTTGTCAGACAAGTCAAATGTCAGTGACTGTGGAGCAACCCTGTAATGTTCATAGTGGAAACTGGGAATACTATGGTTCTAGATGTCAGCAGCAACTCAGTAACAAGGACAGAAGACAGAACATGCAGAACCCAGCACCTATTCAACAGGCTTTTTCCTCTAAAGAAAACAACATCTTAATAAAACTGTGAGGGATACTCCCTAAGGAATGAGTGTATTCCAGAAGACAAGGAAAGAGTATCCAGTTACTTTCAAGGAGCTTAAGGTCCCCTACTGAGAAACCAGCTCCCCTAGAGCTTGTTATTAAATATATAGATTTTAAAGCTAGTCACTGGAGGAAATAACCTGAATTAAGAAAAATCAGGTAAAATTAGTCACAGCAGAAATTAACACACTGGTAGAGAACAGCACTATGCTCTCTCTGTACAGTGAGAGCCTCTTGTGTCCCTGAGAACTGTGTTTGAATACTGGCTCAGTCTTGTGCTAACCTGGCACAAGTTATTGGCATCCCTGAGGCTTTTTTTTAAATATGTGAGATTGCTAAAATAAATATAATTGTGTTCAGGATTAATAGTGCATAGAGTTCACGATTGGAAAAGGTTGGCATACTATGTATATCCTCTCACCATGTGAGAGTAATTACTGGTAATATGCAAAGCAGTTCTAAAAAGTAGAGTCTAGATTTATGAAAAATTGTGAGGGAACCTAAGGGAACTTTGAACTGTTGGAGGTCTTATTAATATTTGTACAAAGTCATTCATAGTCACTGAAAGAAAGGGATGGTGACAACACCATTATTCCTCCTTCATAGAAAGGCTATTTAGACATGAGTGTTCTCTTCTCCTAGTCCAGCTATTCCACAAGTCAGGGCTAATATTTGCCTGTGTCTGCTTCCAAATTACAACCATTATATAATATCTTGACCTATAGTATAAACCCATTATTTAAAATGCCACTTAAATGTCATTACTCAACAATCTTTCTAGCTCTCAAACGTGAGGAATCTGAAACAGTAAGAAAAAAAAAAATCAGAAAAGATTGACAAATTTTAAACCAAGAATGGAGCATCTAGAGTTGAAGTTTTTTTAGTGGTATTTTCCCTTGTAACAATAGCCATTTTACTAGGATTATTCTTTAAGATGTGCTTTTCAAAAAATAGTATCAGAGTAAAAAGAGAAATCTATGAAAGTAGTATGGCTGTATTTATTTCTCTTGTTATCTGTATAAAAATGCTGTGTTCAGAAAATCATGAGCTTGTAGTGGCTTGCTATTAAATCCAGTTTTATCCACTGACAATAGTTCCTTCTGCTTTAAAATAAAAGAGTGCTTTTGTGATCATGGTTACCCAGTATAAATATTGAGGCTACATGCTATCCCCTGCTGTCATTCAGGAGTTCATTTGGTCACAGCTCACCTATTTGCAATATCTGATTGCCTCAATTACCAGCAAACAGTGATTCCCTGAACACAGAGTTCTTCCATTAACTTCCAAAGGAAGTAGCTTGCTAAGAAGCTCCACCCAATCTATCAATCATAATGAGCCAGCTCTCTTTTCAAAGGCATTCCCGCAGTGAGAATTCATTCCAGTGTCAAAGCATACTTCTAATTGTGAAGTTAATTTTTAGCCCAATAGACTTGAAAGTCCGGGGATTAAATTTGGTTCCCCAGATCACACTAAAATGTTAAAGAATGTTTCATAAATTGTATGGAAATCCCTTAATAACATATTAGGAGATAGTGAAGTCAGAGGAGAATCCAAAAAAAATCATTGAGATGCTCTCAAGGATGAGGATTAGAGTACTGATTACAAGCAAAATGGCTGACATTAGCACAACTCCCATCTCTCAAAAGTGTAGAGAAATATTTGTATCCTCAAAGAAAAAGAATAAAGGAGATAAATGTCCAAGCGTAGAAAAGATAAAGTCACACAAAGGATGCAGATTTAGATGTGGATTATCCCTACGGGTTCCCATCTCAGTGAGGAGAAAACACATAGTGGAGATCACCAAAGTCACACCTGTTGGGGTAAGAGAGGTCTAGAGAGACACCTGAGGACCAGAAAAGAAGTCACTCCAAGCAAGGCCAACACCCCAGTTCAGGGGCAAGAAGTAAACTATGCCTACCTCCCTTAACTCTGCCCATCACCTAGACTTTTCCACCCTAACCTAACTTATTACTCAGGCTTGAAGTCATAGCAAAGCATTAGCATCCACTATCAAGAACAAGACCCTCTCAATTGAGGGGATTCAGGACATGCTAGCCCAAAATAGGATCCCTTTGCAAATTGAGTGTATCCAGCTGAAGGAACTTGAAAATGGCAGGTGGAGGAAGAGCTTTCTGACCTTCCACTGAAGCAGGGCATAAAACCCTCACATGAAAAGTATTCTTGCTCCCTATACCTGGAGGGAAGGAACATCCTTATTTCTCCAAAGAAACAGAGAGGAATCTGAATGATTGCCACGTTCCCCCCAGTTTATTACACTTAGCTCAACTATTTGTTTTTCTACAATTTTCTACTCTTTATCAAACCTAACACAAACATACTCAGGTTTAATCATCTCTTGGTGTCCTCATATCCTATGAAGATTGTAAGGTTACATTACATACATCTTATATTAAGTAACCTTGCATGCTCTTCTCCTGTTAAAGTATCTTTGTCAGTTTAATTTACAGACCCCCAGCCAGAAACCTTGAGAGGGTCAGAGCCAAGGAAAACTTCCTCTCTACATGGTCATCTCTCTATCAACTCATGTGACTACTCTCCGCCTTCTGCGTGAACCCTTAGCACTGCTTACAGTTGCCAGACTAACCATGGTCACCTCATACCTCCATGTTGAGTCACAATGGTCTCCCTAAAGACTAGTAGCCTGGAGGCTACACTGTAATCAGAGAGAATCAAAGAGAATGCAAGAAAGACTGTGCCTTACCTCACCTAAACCATAAATTCCTAGGACAGCCAGGAAGCCAAGTCTCCAGACCCCTTACAGCATCACCAAACCCCTCAGTTACCCAGCAACCATGTAGATGCCTGATCAGTGGGCATTGATGTGAGCCCTCCTCCCACCACCACACATCTCTCCAGTCATGTATTTTCCTTACACGTTTTGGGATAGACATTTAAATATACCAAAGGAAGAAATGTTATCTTCTCTACAAGGGTAGAAGGGTATATGGATTAAAATCACCCAGCATTTTTGTTTTTCATTATGGAAAGCTACCCTCACACTTTCCTTGCTTGAGATTCTCAAATCAAATCACCTGATATGAACTGCATATTTGTGCCTCCTACCCTAGATTCAGTGTTGAAACACTACCCTCTGATGTGACAGTATGTGATTAGGACCATGGAAGCTAATCGGGATTCAATGAGGCCACGAGAGGAATATCCTCATGAATGTGATAAATGCCCTTGTAAGAGTCACAAGAGAGCTGGTTTCCTCTTTCTGCTTTCCATCGTGTGAGGACACAATGGGAAGGCAGCCATCTACAAGGCAAGAAGTAGGTTCGCACCAGAGCCAGCACAAGAACTGCCAGTGCCTTGATCTTGGACTTCCCAGCTTCCAGAACTGAGAAATAAATGTTTGTTGTTTAAGTCACTCAGTCTATGATATTTTTGAACTAAGACAGCTTGTTTCTCCCTACCCAATTAACCACTAATCAACCTATTTACATACATATGTTACCTGTTTTTCTGTGTGCCTCTCTATCAGTTTCCAGTGGTAACAGTCTAGTCAGCGTTTAGAGATCTGATGTCAGTTGGTCAGTGTGACTCTGGGCAGGTTGCTTCCCTTCTCTGTGGCAGGCTCCTCAAGAAGAAGGAAGGGGGTGAGGGGGCTCTCTATTGATCCCTCTATCTTCCACAGCCTATCATTTTCTTTGGCAACTGGCTAACTCACAGAGCCACTGGGAGGAACACATAAGAGAACACATTTGTCAATGTGGTGAAGAATATTCACCATTTGAGTAAAGTAGCATTATTTCAGTGTGAAACTAACTAGTCCCTTTTTTCTTTTTTTTTTTTTTCCTCCAGGTTTCTAGGCCATTGTGGGCCTAGTCAAGCACCCTTCTGCCCCAATAACTATGTTAGATATTGACAGGAAATTTTTGAGAGAAGAGAACACAAGGTGACTTAGAGAAGACATGGTTGAAAAAGCCCTGTTACTGAAGCCCTTCTAGGCCAGTTCTTTAGAAATGATAATTGGGCTTCTGCCTCCAGCAAGGGTCAATCCTTGTCCTTGTGAGATCTGCAATAAAATATAAATACTATGAGAAAATCACATTGTGTCTGTTTTGTCAAACACCTGGTTGCGAGTCTGTCCCATACTCTAGCACATGTGGAGGAGGATAGGATCAGGCAGGTAAGTCACTTCCCCAGCATTGGCAATGTGAGCCCTCATTTTTCCTCATGTAATCATCAGGAGCTACAGGACTTTTACTGGTAACAAATCATCAGACCCTTTTGCCTGTGCTGGTTTTACACTAGATTGAGCCCCATCATCCTTCATGCTGCATTACATCTACACTCTCACTGAGAGGAAACCCAATTTGTTTTGGATCGTTAGCACACCTTGAGTTGAGAATAGCCAGTTATTTTCTGAGACTAAGTCTCAGTAAATGTGCGGAGAGTGATTCTGTCATGGGCCGATTACGAATTCTCCTTGAGCAAGGCTGACATTTCTGTAACATGGACAAAACTACTAAACCTCTCCTAAGAAAAAAACTTGTTTAAATAAATATTCCTGTAATAAAGAGTCCACAACCCCCAAATTCACATAAGCATTTTTTTCTTGTTTATTCTAATATAAGGGCAAAGCAGGGTATGTGGCTCTCTAAACATTTTTTATACGTAGGAACAATTTTGGACAAAATTGTGAATTAAGAGAAACCTATATGTTTATTTTGAGAGAAAGCACAAGTGAGTGCACACAAGTTGGGGAGGGGCAGAGAGAGGAGAAGAAAGAGAATCCCAAGCAGGGTCCACACTGTCAGTTCAGAGACTGATGAGGGGCTGAATCCCAGAAACCGCAAGATCGTAACCTGAGCTGAAATCAAGAGCCAGATGCTTAACTGACTGAGCCACCCAGATCCCAATAGAGAAACTTTTAACAAGGAGTGATTTTATGATGCCTTTCTGGATCCCCCAATTCCCATCCCCCCTTCCAGTACTCTGTAGGCGACAAGCCTCAAGCCAGGGGCAGAGCCATCTGTATGATGGGTGGGAAGAGTCTCTAACTCATGCACATACTTTAAAAGAAGATCCTCAAATAAGAAACACGTGCTTAGGTCAAAGGAATCAATGACTAAAGTATATTTCCAAAAGTCAACTGGAAAACACTTTTCTAAGTCTGGGGGATTTCCCGGTGCCCTTGTTATTGCACTTGATCAAAAATAGTTTGTTCTTTGTCATTATTCCCATGTCACATCCAATGTTATCAAGAATTGGGCAAACTTCCTGGGGTTCCTGCCCTTGGGGAACCTGAATCTAATTAGAGGTGCAAACAGCACCTAGGATCTTTGGCATGAGGCCAAGATTAACCTCTTAGAGTAAGTTGGCTAAGGTTATATAGCTAGTAGTGGAAAAAAGTAGTTTAAATCCAGATTTAGACACCAAATCGCAGGTTTCCCCTACATGCATACTAGGGAAACATTTAGTCAGTGCTCCATGATTTACCATTAATTGTCCTTTAACTGATTCATGAATGGTAGACTTCCTTCACAAGAAGCTTGGAACCATCTACAGAGAAGGACACGGTCTCATCCTTTCCTTCCATCCTTCCCCATAATGTGTGGTAGACATTGACATGAAGGCAAAATAACATTAGCAAACAAGCATCAAGAGAAATGTAATAAAATAATAGCTATGGAATGTGCGATAAGGGATACAGAAGCAGAGTACAGAAATGATGGATCAGTCTGAGGAAAATAATGATCCAATGTGAGTTTGAATAGGGTCGTAAAAGACAAGACGTGAAGTGGTGAGAAGAGAGAAGGTAATGATTATAGGCACAGAATCAGAAAGAGGAAGGAGAGCACACATGCACGAATTTACATGGCTACTGGCTGCACAGAGGCATCATCAGAAATGCATAGGCTGGGTTTAGCTTGATGCCAGCCCCAAAGAAAATGAGATCCATTATAACATCACTATGTAAAACACACACAACTTGTGTCTGAGTGGAATCTCATAGACACATTCAAAATAGGGTAGGTGTTTTGGTAAATTTTTCTATCAACCTGTTAGAAGAGACTCAGAAAACATCTGCTAACTATGCATGATGTGTTGTTACACCACACAGAATGTCACCATGAAGAACAAATGGCATCAGCTGCCACCATGCTGTGGCATTCCATTTAACAAAATGATATGTCGTTATTAAGCGGCAAGGGATATTGATTTCTCTGTATGTTTCCTGTTTGCTCAATTGCTTTGGTTACAACACCACCACCACTACATGTTAAATACACTGAGGAAATAAAGATTTATCCATAGGTCCTCAATAATGTGGGATCTGCCCTTTGCCCCCTGGCAAACAATCAAATCCCCTGACACTCATCTTGACTTTGTTCTCTCAAAAGCAAATTGTCCCCCTGTTTTCTTGTCCAAAGATTTAAAATGTAAGAAAGCATCTCATATGGAGTTGGTCATGTGGTACAGGGTACAGTCTGCAAGTAAGAGCAGCAAAGTCAGGTCCTAGCTTTATTACCGATCGCCAAGCTACCCTGAGGGACACACCCACCTCCCGGGTCTTCTGTTTCCCCCTCTGTAAAGGGAAAGGGGAAAGCCTAACTTATTTCCAACATCTCCTTGTGGGTGAAAAATGTATCATTTTCTAGTGTCTTAAAGGTCATTTCTTTTCATTCAATAATACTCAATATATATTAAGTATTTCATGTGTGCCACGGATTGCTCTAAACCCTAGGAATACTACAATTAAAAAAATGAAACAGAGGAGCCTGGGTGGCTCAGTTGGTTAAGCATCTGACTTGATTTCAGCTCAGGTCATCCTCTTCCCCACCCCACCCTCACCCCCGCCTCTTTCCCAGATCTTGTACATCCGCTCTCAAATAAACATTTAAAAAAACACAAAAAAAAACAAAACAAAAAATGAAAACAGAAGCAAACACCTGCTTTTCTGGAGTATAACTTCTAATAGATGGAGATGGTAAAAAAAAAATAAGTAAATAAATAAATACACATTATGCCGAATCCTAAGTACTGTAAAGAGAAATTAGGGTAAATGGGATAAAATGTGGGGCTATGGAACAGGATGGGGTGAGGAGATGGATGCTAATTTATTTTTATGTAGTCAGGAAAGCACTGGCTGATAGTCACATCAGCACAGAATGAAGAATGAAGTGAGAAAGTAAACCATATAGGCATCCAGAGGAAGAGTATCCTAGGGAGAGAGGGATCCATAAGTACAAGTGCACACAGGCAGGACTGTGCTTGAAGTGCACTAGGAATCTGTGTCTGAGTGCTCTGGTTTGTAGGGACAGACCAAGGCTCAGCTACATGTTACTGTATTGCCCGACTTCTCTTCTGCTACTGTCACTGGATCAACATAGACTTAGAGCAAGGTTCTGGGCAGCATTGGAAACATTCTGGAAAATGCCTACCCTTGAGTATATAGAGAGTTCACAGTTGCCCCCTCTGAAACCTGGTGCACCAGCAGAGAAATCTTCCAGGAATCCTTAGGAGATTGTAATTTTCCCAAAATAAATCAATTCTCCTTTTTACAAATAGCGAAAATTATGAGGATTTTTTTTTTCTTCTCAGAAAGTTGACGTTGAAACTTAGGTTGTTATATTTGAAAGGAAAACCTAAAATCAAAACCTGCTCAGTAAAGGTGGGAATGGTCCTCTGCCTAAAAGTCTCCACAAAGAGAGCATTTGTAAATATAGCCACACAATCACCTTGAGGATACTTGATAGCTTAATAAGATTTTAATGAGTCTCTTTGAAAATGAGAAACCCCACTATATAAAATGGGCCTATAAAATGTTTGCAGCTATGCTGTGGCCTCAAATCACAAACAGATCCCACCACAAACAGTACTCTGCAATATTAAATGCCAAGTTTAGCAGAAAAGGGTTTTGGCTATACTTGTCTCTAAGCACACTTAGGAAAGACGTCAAATGTCTCCAGACACAACCCCACAAACATGGACAGTGGGTGGCTTACTACAAGGGTAATCCTGAAAAATCCAGTCTCTTATTTCCATCTCTCCAATTACCTCAATTTACACTGGTAACCCTCTTCTCTGAATTCCTACATTTCAAGATCATCAGTTTATTTAACAGGCAAGCATCTGACTTTGGCTCAGCTCATTATCTCATGGTTTATGGGTTTGAGCCCCACGTTGGGCTCTGTGCTGACAACTCAGTCTGGAGCCTGCTTCAGATTCTGTGTCTTCCTGTCTCTCTGCCCCTCCACTCATGCTCTGTCTCTATCTCTACAAAATAAATAAACATAAAAATTTTTTTTAGAATTGACCAGTCACTTCTATTAGGAAGAAGATACAAAGAAGAATATCACTTTATCTTTGTGCTTTGAATATTTAACCTTTACCAGTGCTTGTAACAAAATGTTAGGTATCATGACACATGAAAACCAATTTTTGTAGGAATTTAGAAACGGGACAAATTATTATGGAAAGTAATCAGGAAAGGCTTCATGGCTGGGGCAGTGTTTTTTTTTTGTTTTTTTAATTTTATTTAAGTCCAAATTAGTCAACATATAATGTAATAATGATTTTAGGAGTAGAATTTAATGAGTCATCATTTACATTCAACATCCAGCGCTCATCTCAACACGTGCCCTCCTTAAGGCCCATTGCCTATTTAGCCCATCAATGTTTTTAATGAGCTTTGAGGTGAGCACTCTTCAGAAAAAAGTAAGGTGGAAGGCATTGGCAAAACTGCATGTAACCTAACGTGGAAAGAGGAAGAAATTTCAGTGCAAAGGAATAAAAGCTCAAGGCTAGAAAGTGGTGAGAAGGTAGTGCAGACCCTTGAATTAGAAGTGTTAAGGATTTACACTTTAAACCACTGGTAACTGAGTAGACTTTGAAGGCTTTTGAACAAAACATACCCAAAGACTAATATAGTGGCAGTGGGCATATGTTAGAATAAAAGAAAACTAGGAAGGAGTTTAAAAATGAGAAAATCAGCACTTCAGTAGCATTAGGAAGGTCAGAGAGAGATTAAAAACAAAGTTCTACCCAAATGTTCAATTCTTTGCTGATCATTTTGTGCCAAATAGCCTGGGGCAGGACTGT